CTCTATATAAGCAGGCTGACTGAGCTCTTCAGTTCAGTTCTGTTCTGTTCTGGCCTCTGAATAAACAAGAGCTGTTTGATGAATCGATGTGTCGTCTGATATGTCCACCCACAACTTAACCGAACTCTTAACTTCTGGCTCCGCCTAAACTCAAATCCCCCCGGTTTACTATCCCTGGTACTTCAAGACTCTCATAAAAGTGCTTGTCTTAAAACTAAAAAATTCCTTCCAGTAACACCTTAAAGACCAACTAAGTTAGTTCTTGGTATGAGCTTTCGTGTGCATGCACACTTCTTCAGATACACAGTGTGCACACGAAAGCTCATACCAAGAACTAACTTAGTTGGTCTTTAAGGTGCTACTGGAAGGAATTTTTTTGTTTTGACTATGGCAGACCAACACGGCTACCTATCTGTAACTGTCTTAAAACTGTCTATCCAAAACTTCACTCTTGTGGCCTATCCCCACAACACCTACTCACTATGGGCCCTACTAAAGCAAATAGTCTAATTGGTTACCGTCTAAAAGATATCGATCATCAGAACAACCTGGCCACTATAAGGAAATTCTGCCCTTGGTATGTTCATTTTCCACCTCTCCGTTTCGATTCTCTGGCTCCATATCTGCACAAACTTATTATCCCAAAATACAGACGTGCTTTTACACTTGCAAGACTGGATGTTTTGCCATCTGCGGTCAATTCCAAAAGATCCCGCCTGAGAAACGTCTTTGCCCCTGTGGAGATGGTAGCACCGAAACAGCGGCACACGTCCTCCTGTCTTGCTCTCTCTACAAAGACCTGAGGAACGAGATCCTCACCCCACTCGTACTAACCATCCCAGGGCGCTCAACCACTGCCACAATGTCCTTTCTTCTATCAGATCAAAATGAGCAGATAACAGCAAAGGTGGCTAGGTTCATAGCAGCGGCAATCAGAATAAGGGCCACTAACTGATGGCTGGTTCAGGACTTTAAATTGTGCTCCTATATCAAATTCCCTTTTCTGCATATACTGTAATGTTTTACTGTTGCTATGGCCATTGGCTAATGCGAATAAAGTTTTATCTTATTCTCTAAAATCTAATATAGATTAGAACAGGTGCCTTGGGGGAACGCTATAGCACCTGTGGGTGCTGGGTTGGTGACTCCTGATCTAGCCTGCAATGATTATGCATTACTAGGCCATATCACCAACAAAGGTCCATATAGTAAAAGCTATGGTTTCCCCAGTAGTGATGTATGGAAGTGAAAGCTGGACCATCAAGAAGGCTGATCGCCGAAGAATTGATTCTTTTGAATTCTGGTGCTGGAGGAGACTCTTGAGAGTCCCATGGACTGCAAGAAGATCCAACCTCTCCATTCTGAAGGAAATCAGCCCTGAGTGCTCACTGGAAGGACAGATCCTGAAGCTGAGGCTCCAAGACTTTGGCCACCTCAGGAGAAGAGAAGACTCCCTGGAAAAGACCCTGATGCTGGGAAAGATGGAGGGCACAAGGAGAAGGGGACGACGGAGGAAGAGATGGTGGGACAGTGTTCTCGAAGCTACCAGCATGAGTTTGACCAAACTGGGGGAGGCAGTGGAAGACAGGAGTGCCTGGCGTGCTCTGGTCCAGGGGGTCACGAAGAGTCGGACACGACTAAATGACTAAACAACAACAGGCCATATCACATTATCTTCGCCAGCCCACCTGAGCTAGCTAACTTTTGGCGCCGTCCTGGGTGCCATCTTAGATTTCAGTTCCACACAGAAACAACTTCGGACTCTTGAGAGGCCAAACTTCCATGGGTGACACAAACATGTTTTCTCCGCTTGAGTCGAGAAGGGAATCCGGCACCGTCATTAATTTTTTCTCCTATGCAGTAATAAGAATAATGGGGGTTTTTTTTGCTTCTGAACCCTTCCCCGCCCAAAGCGCCGTGGGATATCTACTCGCCAAGTAAACAGCAAAGTCTGAACAAAACAGCCTTGTTATAAATACACCCTGAAGCTTTCCAAGTGGGAATGCGATGGAGAAGGGGGCGACTTGATGTGTGGCTGTTTGTCGCTATTTTAAAAAAACATAAAACTGCGTCTCGGCTTTGTGATGAATCTGTTTCTAAGCTAGGAAGAGGTGTCTCTTCATGCCAGTGATGTTAATTTGGCTGGTGCTGCTGCTTCTATTTTGGCTTCTGCCTCAGGTAAGCAGCATGGGCTCCAAGAGCAAGTGTCTGTTGACCAGGCCTTTCAGACACCAGGAAGACTATTACAAGCCAGGAGACCTGATTGTGGGGGGGAATCTACCCCTCATCAGCGCCGTCGACTTGATGAAGTTCTTCCACATTCCTCCCCAAGACCAGGAATACTGCTCTGACCAGTAAGTGCCCTCAGGAAAGTTCTGGGTTGCCCTGGCTTCAGTGATCTGCATCAAGGGGGATGCTCACATCTGGAATTCCCTGGTTCAGATTTTGTTTTTTGTTTTTGTTTTTTTTCCTGAATTATCTGAAATTACAACTTTTTTAAATTATATTTTTTCTTCATTTTCAAATACAAATTTATACAACCAAATCTCATTTTATCACATGTTTTCCATTTTTTACTTCCCTAAGTTTCTCTGCCAATCTTCCGTTTAATTTATATTGTAAGCGCATTTCTAAACTTAATATTGCCTTTAAAACTGTCCTCCCCCCTTTCCCCCCCTTTTTTACAATATTCCTCAGTTCTTCACAGAGCCTCTTGGAAACCTACAAGCGTTATCTGTTCATCACATAAACTTTTCAAATAATCTGTAAACCTTCCCCAGTCCTCGATAAACTTATAATTTCGCTGATATCGAATCTTCCCTGTTAATTTGTCCAATTCTGCATAGTCAGTCAGTTTCAATCTCCATTCTTCCACCGCCCTGGTTCAGATTTTGAACCTGTGCCGCTCATAATGGTTTACTTTAGCCCATCTTTTCTTTTAATCATATTTTTTTAAAAATTGATTTTCATACCATTTTCAAATAATTTCACCTGCCACTCCATTTTAGTTGGTATTTCCTCTCCTTCCCACCATTTAGCTATTAACATTCTCGCAGCAGTAGTTGCATACATAAATACCTTTCTGGAATCCTTTAGAATATCTGCAGCTATGATACCTAAGAGAAAGTCTTCGGTTTTTGATAAAAGTTAATTTGCACTTTTTTTAAAGCTCATTATAAATTATTTCCCGAAATTTTTTCATCTTATTACATTTCTACCACATGTGGGTACATTGTTCCCTCAATTTTTATTATTATTATTAAATGTTTTATTTAGGCATACTTACAAACAAAATAATAAGATACACACACTTAACCACAAAATTAACCGAAAAAGTAAGAACAAAAGGAACATAAAATACCACACCCATGTGACTTCCCTTCACCAGCTCTTGTCATCTTTAAATCATTTAAATTTAAATTGCATATCATTTATCACTGTAATTACTTCTTATATGGTACTATTATAATATAACATCAGGTCATCGTTACAAGTTTAGTCTTAGACTTAGTTCTCTCAGATTCTTTACATCAACAAGGAGCTGGCTTTATACATTTTCCCCAGCTTGCTAGGTGTAATATAAATATAATGTAAAACATCTTCATGTAGTTTTCTTTTAAAGCGTAGCAAGCCGTAAATGTCAGGTCCTTTCTCCAAAGTCTTTCCCAAGACGCCCTCTGTATGTTATAACCAAAATCTCTAGTCCTGGGCTGCTTTCCAATCTATCACTGATTGTCCAGACCCCAAGGAAAGAGGGTGGAGGGAGAGGGAGACAAGGAATGACAGGCTAGGGTTGTGGGGATTTGATGGAGGAGTCGGGGAGAGATGCTCAGGGCTTGCTGATGTCTTGTCAGATCAGAATAAAGTATAAACAGAGCTATTTCCTCCCTTTGAGCTCCATCACAAGCCCTGATACAAAGGTAAAGGGACCCCTGACCATTAGGTCCAGTCGTGACCGACTCTGGGGTTGCGGCGCTCATCTCGCTTTATTGGCCGAGGGAGCCGGTGTACGGCTTCCGGGTCATGTGGCCAGCAGGGCTAAGCCACTTCTGGCGAACCAGAGCAGCGCACGGAAACGGCGTTTACCTTCCCGCCGGAGTGGTACCTATTTATCTACTTGCACTTTGAATATGCTTTCGAACTGTTAGGTTGGCAGGAGCAGGGACCAAGCAACGGGAGCTCACCCCGTCGCGGGGATTCGAACCGCCGACCTTTCGATCGGCAAGTCCTAGGCCCTGAGGCTTTAACCCACAGCGCCACCCGCGTCCTTAATACAAAAGAGACATCCAAATCCATACTGTTAAAAAAGTTGGGTGCCTCCTCCTCTCTCTGCCAAGCAGTGGCTTGAGCCCAGGGGGTCCCAGCCACTCAACCAGAGTCTGTGGTCCTTTGGAGAATTGAGACATGGCAGAGACTGTCATAGCTTTAAGGAATATGCTTTATTCACCTATTTTTTATATTTCCATCGGGTGGCTGTTTCAGGTAGGGCATTGCTGTTTCTGAAGGGAGGAACTTGATTCTGCCCCTCAGTTAATGGGCTGTTTAGGGTTTGGAAGGCGCTGTCACTGCGAGAAGAGGGATGAGATTTATTGACATCTACTCATCATCCGAGGGACGCGGGTGGCGCTGTGGGTTAAACCACAGAGCCTAGGGCTTGCCGATCAGAAGGTCGGCGGTTCAAATCCCCGCAATGACGGGGTGAGCTCCCGTTGCTCGGTCCCTGCTCCTGCCAACCTAGAAGTTCAAAAGCACATCAAAGTGCAAGTAGATAAATAGGTACCACTCCGGCGGGAAGGTAAACGGCGTTTCCGTGCGCTGCTCTAGTTCACCAAAAGCGGCTTAGTCCTGCTGGCCACATGACCCGGAAGCTGTACGCCAACTCCCTCGGCCAATAAAGCGAGATGAGCGCCGCAACCCCAGAGTCGGCCACGACTGGACCTAATGGTCAGGGGTCCCTTTACCTTTACCTTACTCACTATCCATTATGTTGGGATGCGCATGGACATACACACACCTCCACTTCCCCCAACTGCAGGGATATGCCGGTGCCCAAGAACTACCAGCACATCTTGGCCTTGGTGTTTGCCATCGATGAACTCAACGAGGATCCGGCGCTCCTTCCCAACATCACACTGGGCTTCCGTATATACGATGACAAAGAGAATGTGAGAAGAATCTTTCAGGACAGCCTGTCTCAGCTCTCCACACGGGGGAAACTGGTGCCTAATTACAAGTGTGATCGGCAGGACAAACTGGTGTCGATCATTGGGAGTCTCGACATCAAAGCGTCAAGGCAGATGGCATCCATCTTGGGCACCCACAAGATCCCACAGGTAAGGAGATTGATCTGGGATAGATGGAAGCGATCTGGAGAACTCCGTGGCATTGCTGCAATGTATAATAATAACAGTTACAATAACAATAATATAATTTGTACCATAAAAGGTAAAGGTAAAGGTACCCCTGCCTGTACGGGCCAGTCTTGACAGACTCTAGGGTTGTGCGCCCATCTCACTCTAGAGGCCGGGGGCCAGCGCTGTCCGGAGACACTTCCGGGTCACGTGGCCAGCGTGACAAAGCTGCATCTGGCGAGCCAGCGCAGCACACGGAAACGCCGTTTACCTTCCCGCTAGTAAGCGGTCCCTATTTATCTACTTGCACCCAGGGGTGCTTTCGAACTGCTAGGTTGGCAGGCGCTGGGACCGAGCAACGGGAGCTCACCCCGCCGTGGGGATTCGAACCGCCGATCTTTCGATCGGCAAGCCCTAGGCGCTGAGGCTTTTACCCACAGCACCACCCGCGTCCCAATTTGTACCATACCCATCTTTATATTATTATTAATAATAATAATAATAATAATAATAATAATAATAAAGCGATAAAACATCAAACATTAAAAACTTCCCTAAACAGGGCTGCCTTCAGATGTCTTCTAAAAGTCATATACAGTGGTACCTCGGGTTACATATGCTTCAGTTTACATACGCTTCAGGTTACAGACTCCGCTCACCCAGAAATAGTACCTCTGGTTAAGAACTTTGCTTCAGGATGAGAACAGAAATCGCATGGCAGCAGCGCTGCAGCAGCGGGGGCCCCACTAGCTAAAGTGGTGCTTCAGGTTAAGAACAGTTTCAGGAACGAATTAAGTATGTAACCCGAGGTACCACTGTAGTTGTTTATTTCCTTGACATCTGATGGAAGGGCGTTCCACAGGGCGGGCGCCACCACTGAGAAGGCCCTCTGCCTGGTTCCCTATAACCTCACTTCACGCAGGGCGGGAACTGCTGGAAAGCCTTCGGAGCTGGACCTCAGTGTCAGGGCTCGACAATGGGGGTGGAGACGCTCTTTCAGGTATACTGGGCCACAGCTGTTTAGGGCTTTAAAGGTCAGCACCAACACTTTGAATGATGCTCAGAATATGCTTTCACTGGAGTTTGTAAAGCTGCTGGCAGGAGTTTCCTGCACCCAATCAGAAGCCGCGCTTTTGAACGTTTTGGAATTTGAACGGACTTCCAGAACAGATTTCGTTCGACTTCCGAGGTACGACTGTATTCCCAAGGCTCAAGAAAACGTAGCCGCTCACTTTGTCAGCCCACATAAATCCTTAGTCGTGAATCAATGATCCGTACATACAGGCCATCTCTCCTGCTATTTTTCACACACAAACGACTGACTGGTTTTAACAAACAGGAACTCCTCTCCACTAAGCATTCCATTCCTGCCCAAAACACACAGTGTGTGTGTGTGTGTGTGTGTGTGTGTGTGTGTGTGTGTGTGTGATAAAAGGTAAAGGTAAAGGGACTCCTGACCATTAGGTCCAGTCGTGACCGACTCTGGGGTTGCTGCGCTCATCTCGCTTTACTGGCCGAGGGATCCGGTGTACAGCTTCTGGGTCATGTGGCCAGCAGGACTAAGCCGCTTCTGGCGAGCCAGAGCAGCGCATGGAAACGCCATTTACCTTCCCGCCGGAGCGGTACCTATTTATCTACTTGCACTTTGACGTGCTTTCGAACTGCTAGGTTGGCAGGAGCAGGGACCGAGCAACGGGAGCTCAACCCATCAAGGGGATTTGAACTGCCAACCTTCTGATTGGCAAGTCCTAGGCTCTGTGGTTTAACCCACAGCGCCACCCACGTCAAGCACACTTTTAAAATAAAGCTCTTCTTTCCTTCAGCTCGGTTATGGGTTGTTGAACCCTGTTTGGGGAGGAAAACCCGCCTTTCCTTCTTTCTACCGGATTGACCCTAACGATGCCTCGCAGTACGTAGGCTTAATCAAACTGCTCCTCCATTTCCACTGGAATTGGATCGGGGTCTTTGCTCCAGATGATGAGAGGGGCCAAAATTTCATCCAGACCCTACGGCCCATGCTCGCGGAGGACGACATCTGCGTCGAGTTTTTTAAAACGATTCCTCGGGACGACTTGATGCGCGACGCCATTTACTTTGAGAACGGCCCGCCTGTTTATCGCTGGGAGGCCGAAGTGGCGGTTGTCTTCGGGGACAACGTTCTCGTCGAGCAAATAACAGGCCGCTTCTACGCCCACAAGAAAGAGACTTACGAGTCGAATTGGAACGTTTGGACAATTTGGATCCTGACTTCCCACTGGGAGTTTTCTGCGATGGGAGTCCCCTTCCACTGGCGGTCTCTAAGGTTATTGAGTGGTGCGCTGTCCTTCAGAGCCCACGCAGGAGATGTGCCGGGATTTGGAGATTTCCTCGGGTCCTTGGATCCAAAGCAGCCCCGGGGGGACGTATTCCTCCGCGAGTGGTGGGAAGGTGCTTTTTACTGCGAGTTCGTCATAACGGACCGGTTTCCTCCAGAGGAGCTGAAAAACTGTACCGGGGAAGAGAAGGTGGAGGACTTGCCCCCGATCTTGTTCGAAAGGAGAATGACAGGCCGCAGCTACGGGGTCTATAACGCCGCCTTTTCTGTAGCACACGCGTTGCACGTTTTGCACTCGCCGGGGTCAAAACGGAACGTGGTGTGGGGTGGCAAGAAGCTTCTGGATCTCCAGCCATGGCAGGTAACAGAATCTCTCTGACCTCAGTGTCGGATTTACGCATAAGCGGGTGGCGCTGTGAGTTAAACCACAGAGCCTAGGACTTGCCGATCAGAAGGTCAGCAGTTCAAATCCCTGCGACGGGGTGAGGCTCCCGTTGCTCGGCCCCTGCTCCTGCCAACCTAGCAGTTCGAAAGCACGTCAAAGTGCAAGTAGATAAATAGGTACCGCTCTGGCGAGAAGGTAAACGGCGTTTCCGTGCTCTGTTCTGGTTCGCCAGAAGCGGCTTAGTCATGCTGGCCACATGACCCGGAAGCTGTACGCCGGCTCCCTCGGCCAATGAAACGAGATGAGCGCCGCAACCCCAGAGTCAGTCACGACTGGACCTAATGGTCAGGGGGTCCCTTTACCTTTAAACAAGCTACAGCTTAGAGCCCCACTCTCTTGCCCCCCCCCCACAAAATTTAAAGGGGGAAACTGGATGTACATTTCCAAAATATAAGATAAAAAACGAATAAAATAAAACCTACACACAGCAACAGTGTTTTGTGTTGTGTAGGCTCCCATGATGTAAGTAAGGGGTAAGCAAACTTTTTCAGCAGGGGGCCGGTCCACTGTCCCTCAGACTTTGTGGGGGGCCAGACTATATTTTGAAAAGAAATAATGAACGAATTCCTGTGCCCCACAAATAACCCAGAGATGCATTTTAAATAAAAGCACACATTCTACTCGTGTAAAAATACCAGGCCGGTCCCTCAAATAACCCAGAGATGAATTTTAAATAAATGCACATTCTACTCATGTAAAAACACGCTGATTCCCAGACCGTCCGCGGGCCGGATTGAGAAGGCGATTGGGCCGGATCCGGCCCCCGGGCCTTAGGTTGCCTACCCACGGTGTAGACAATATTGAGCTTGATAGGCCCAATGCTTATTTGGTACGGGGCAGGTCCTTATGTTTCAGGTTTCTTGCATCCGGAACCAGCCCACCCATTATCTTAGCATGTCTGCCATTTCAGATCCATGCGACTTTAAGGAACATTCGCTTTAACAACAGCGCTGGAGATGAAATATCTCTTATTGAAGACAGTGAGAGATCGGTTGACTGGGATATCCTGAACTGGATCTTTTTCCCGAACGGGTCTTCAGCAAAAGTGGAAGTTGGAAGGGTGGGGCTTTCGGCTCCCCCAGGCCAAGACTTCACCATTAACTCAGATGCAGTTGTGTGGGGTGCCGAGGTGGGTAGCAGGCAAATATTCTTGGGGTCATGGAGAAACAGAGAATCCTTAAGCTCAATCCCTTTGGAAACGGAAGACTGGGGCATATAAAAAGCTTCATCCAAAATTTGGTCCTGGATAAATTAACATTTTAACCGAGCCTCTATCTTTCCGATAAGAGTATTTATTTCCCCCCTGTGTTGATGAACCATTTTCATCACAAGGGAAACTTCTACAACCTCTTCAGTATTCTTCTTTTTTGGCGTTCACTCATAGCCGAGTAAAGGGACGCGGGTGGCGCTGTGGGTAAAAGCCTCAGTGCCTAGGACTTGCCGATCGAAAGGTCGGCGGTTCGAATCCCTGCGGCAGGGTGTGCTCCTGTTGCTCGGTCCCAGCGCCTGCCAACCTAGCAGTTCGAAAGCACCCCCGGGTGCAAGTAGATAAATAGGTACCACTCCGGTGGGAAGGTAAATGGCGTTTCCGTGTGTTGCGCTGGCTCGCCAGATGCAGCTTTGTCACGCTGGCCATGTGACCCGGAAGTGTCTCTGGACAGCGCTGGCCCCCGGCCTCTTAAGTGAGATGGGTGCACAACCCTAGAGTCGGACACGACTGGCCCGTACGGGCAGGGGTACCTTTACCTTTACATAGCCAAGTAAGATTTTCTTCTGTGAACACGGTTTTAACAGTGAGTCCGTAAGTGACTTTGGAGGCTAATTCTGGATCCACACGTCCTTCCACAGTGGGGACATTGGTTCCCGGGCAGGAGTTGATCTTGGTGAGGGTTTGCCAAACGTGCCTTCCTCTTAACACGTTTGTCCCTTTTGTCCTGAGTTCGAGCGTCTTCCAAGCCCATGACACCTTTGGTAAAGGCTGTTCTCCAATTAGAGCTCTCGCAGGCCAGTGTTTCCCAGTTGTTGGTGCTTATACTACATTTTTTATACTACATTTACATTTGCCCCAAGAGAGTCTTTGAACCTCTTTTGTTGACTGTCGGCATTACGCTTCCCATTTTTAAGTTCAGAATAGAGTAGTTTGCTTTGGGAAGGACATGGGTGGCGCTGTGGGTTAAACCACAGAGCCTAGGACTTGCCGATCAGAAGGTCGGCAGTTCGAATCCCCGCAGCGACGGGGTGAGCTCCCGTTGCTCGGTCCCTGCTCCTGCCAACCTAGCAGTTCGAAAGCACCACAAAGTGCAAGTAGATAAATAGGCACCACTCCGGCAGGAAGGCAAACGGCATTTCCATGCGCTGCTCTGGTTCGCCAGAAGTGGCTTAGTCCTGCTGGCCACATGACCCGGAAGCTGTACGCCGGCTCCCTCGGCCAATAAAGCGAGATGAGCGCCGCAACCCCAGAGTCGTCCACGACTGGACCTAATGGTCAGGGGTCCCTTTACCTTACTAGTTTGCTTTGGAAGACGATAACCAGGCATCCGCACAACATGGCCGGTCCAATGAAGTTGATTTGTATTAGACAAATATTGATGCTGTTGTGGAAGGTTAAGAGAGCTGATGCCGTATAATGCAGGAAAACCAATCAACTGTCCCTTTTATCCCTTTTAGACAAACCGTTTTGCCAGATGTGTGGAGAGGTGCCCCCCAGGGCACAGCGTAAAAGTGAGAGAGGGCAAGCCTGTTTGCTGCTATGGATGTGTCCACTGCCCAGAGGGGACCTTCTCTAACCAGACAGGTAGCTCATATTTTGAGGGTGGAAACCCAGTTTTGCTTGCAGGACTTGACAGGTGGAAGCAAGTGAGGGCGGGAGGCTTCGAGGGTGGGGAAGACGAGGGGAAGGTTATGGACAAAGAGCAGGGTCCACCGTTTCCCCTGGGGATGAGATTACATTTGGGCTTTCAAACCCAGGCTGTTTTGAAGAACATGCTGGAATGGACAAGATGCAAATTATGAATGAACATGGTTCGATCTTAGAAAAGCTGCATACAAATAAACTCACAGTGATCCTAGAATCCTAGAATCCTAGAATTGGAATAGACCACAAGGGCCATCGAGTCCAACCCCCTGCCAAGCAGGAAACACCATCAGAGCACTCCTGACATATGGTTGTCAAGCCTCTGCTTAAAGACCTCCAAAGAAGGAGACTCCACCACACTCCTTGGCAGCAAATTCCACTGTCGAACAGCTCTTGCTGTCAGGAAGTTCTTCCTAATGTTTAGGTGGAATCTTCTTTCTTGTAGTTTGGATCCATTGCTCCGTGTCCGCTTCTCTGGAGCAGCAGAGAACAACCTTTCTCCCTCCTCTATATGACATCCTTTTATATATTTGAACATGGCTATCATATCACCCCTTAACCTCCTCTTCTCCAGGCTAAACATGCCCAGCTCCCTTAGCTGTTCCTCATAAGGCATCGTTTCCAGGCCTTTGACCATTTTGGTTGCCCTCCTCTGGACACGTTCCAGTTTGTCAGTGTCCTTCTTGAACTGTGGTGCCCAGAACTGGACACAGTACTCCAGGTGAGGTCTGACCAGAGCAGAATACAGTGGCACTATTACTTGATGAAACAATTTACTGTACTTTTCCGTCTATAAAATGCCCCATGTGTAAGACGCCCCCAATTTGGGGGGCTCAAATTTAAGAAAATGGGGGGAGATGGCACTGAGTTGTCAAGCTTTTGGGGGGGGCGTGCCCACGGTTGTTGAGCAATTGGGGGGGCGGATTGCCGAACCAAAAATCACTCACCCAGCTGACAAACACTAACAATCGCAAGCGATAGAAGCCAAATTGACAAAGCGGCAGCCAAACCAAAGCAGACCTGGGGAAAGCGCCATACGAATAAACTCACGGCGATGAAACAGATTACTGTATTTTTCGCCCCATAGGACACACCGCCCCATAGGAAGCACCTAATTTTTTTGGGGGGCGGAAATAAAGAAAGGTACGGGGCAGGCGCGGGGGAAGCCCGAGCTTCCCCCGACCCCAGCCCCCAGAACAGCCTGCTATCTGCAACCCTAGGGAGCCACGCCGGTCTCCCCAGGCTTGCGGGGAGGTGCGCGAAGCCCGGGCGTGCTCTTCAGTGCGCACCAGGCTTCGGAATGCAGGCAGCTCTGCGCTACCTTCCAGAGCCCCGCGCGGCTTCGCGCCAGGATCCGGAGGGTGGCGCAGAGCTGCAGGAAGCCCTGGAGCGCAGGCAGCTCTGTGCCACCCTCCGGAGCCCCGCGCGGCTTCGCGCCGGGATCCGGAGGGTGGCGCAGAGCTGCAGGAAGCCCGGGAAAGCCTGCATTCGCCCCATAGGATGCACACACATTTCCCCTTCATTTTTGGAGGGGAAAAAGTGCGTCCTATAGGGCGAAAAATACGGTATATGCAGGGAAACAAATCACAGCAACATCTCAAGCTTATGCACCGTCACAAAACAGAAGACAACTGTAACGAAAAGTCACAGTAATATCCATATAGGGGAAACAAGCACATCATGTTAATAAACACTAAAACAATGCCCAACGATAAAATACAAAACTGCTTCTCCAGTTTTCAAAGCTTAGTATTTCATTTTTCAATTTTACGAAGAACCCGTAGTATATAAAAAAATCATAAAATCGCCGAATGAGAAACAAGGATGTTTGATACCAGCCCAGAAATTTGGTTAGGGTCTGAAAAGACTTGAATTTTTTTTTTAATGCAGTGGAAAATTGTACTTTTGGCCCCACATAGGAAGGTGGAAGAAGGATCCCTCAATCTCTCTGTGAGCTGAACTGGTCAAACAATAATTTTTTTTGTTATGCTTGAGATACTTAAAATGGTGGCTTGTTTGTTCCAGATGCGGCTCAGTGTGTTCAGTGCCCAGACGATCAGCACCCAAACGAGAAACGAAACCAGTGCGTTTCCAAGAAAATCAACTTCCTTTCCTATCATGAGATCCTGGGCTTTGTTTTGGTTTTCCTTGCCCTTTTCTTCTCCCTACTCACCTCTTTAGTCTTGGCAACCTTCATTAAACACCAAGACACACCCATTGTCAGAGCCAACAACCGGGACCTCACCTACGTCCTTCTCGTCTCCCTCCTCCTCTGCTTCTTCTGCTCCTTCCTCTTCATCGGCCGACCCGGGAAGGTCACCTGCCTCCTCCGACAAACGGCTTTCGGCATCGTCTTCTCTGCTGCCGTTTCTTCCGTCTTGGCCAAAACCATCACTGTGGTTCTGGCCTTTATGGCCACCAAGCCAGGAAACATGGCGAGGAAACTGCTGGACAGACAACTGACCAACTGGCATCGTCCTGACCAGCCCCCTGATCCAAGTTCTTATCTGCGCGGTGTGGCTAGGAACCTCCCCTCCGTTCCCAAACTTGGACTTCCATTCCCTGGTTGGAGAGATCGTAGTGGAATGCAATGAAGGCTCTGTCGCCATGTTTTATTCTGTCCTAGGTTACATGGCCTTCCTGGCGCTCGTCAGCTTCACGGTGGCTTTCCTAGCTAGGAAGTTGCCCGACAGCTTTAATGAGGCCAAGTTTATCACCTTCAGCATGCTGGTCTTTTGCAGTGTGTGGATCTCCTTTGTCCCAACATACCTGAGCACCAAGGGGAAGTTGATGGTGGCTGTGGAGATCTTCTCCATCTTGGCCTCCGGGGCTGGTCTCCTGGGCTGCATCTTTCTCCCCAAATGTTACATTACTATCTTGAGGCCCCATCTCAACAGCAGAGATAATCTAATTAGGAAAAGTCTGCCCAGTTGATATTAGAGCACAATATACAGGGGGTACTTGTTGGGGCAGAGACACTCTGAGCTTTCATTCCATAGTATGTGCTGTGCAACGTATATCTGTATCTTCCTTCTCCAGCAGGTTCGGTTTTGTGTACGCTTTCCTCCCTTTCCTCCATTTATATCTGCCATAGTCCTGTCAGGTAAAGGTAAAGGGACCCCTGACCATTAGGTCCAGTCGTGGCCGACTCTGGGGTTGCGGCGCTCATCTCGCTTTATTGGCCGAGGGAGCCGGCGTACAGCTTCCGGGTCATGTGGCCAGTGATCCAGAGCAGCGCATGGAAACGCGGTTTACCTTCCCGCTGGAGCGGTACCTATTAATCTTCTTGCAATTTGATGTGCTTTTGGACTGCTAGGTTGGCAGGAGCAGGGACCGAGCAACGGGAGCTCACCCCGTCACAGGGATTCGAACCACCAACCTTCTGATTGGCAAGCCTAGGCTCTGTGGTTTAGCCCACAGCGCCACCCATGTCCTGTCAGGTAGGCTTGGCTAAATTAATACAGATGGTAAGTGGATTGAGGGACAAGGGGTGGGTAGGTGTGGGGGACTCCCTGGTCCTGAATGGAGTAACTGTGCCCCTGAAGGACCAGGTGTGCAGCTTGGGAGTCATTTTGGACTCACAGCTGTCCATGGAGGTGCAGCTTAATTCTGTGTCCTGGGTGGCTCCTTCTGGTACACAGGCTGAGGCCCTCCCTGCCTGCTCCCTGTCTCGCCAGAGTGGTGCATGCTCTGGTTATCTCCAGCTTGGACTACTGCAATGCGCTCCACGTGGGTCTACCTTTGAAGGTGACTTGAAAACTACAATTGATCCAGAATGCGGCTACTAGACTGATGACTGGGAGCGGCTGCTGGGACCATATAACACCGGTCCTGAAAGGCCCACACTGGCTCCCAGTACGTTTCTAAGCACAATTCAAAGTGCTGGTGCTGACCTTGAAAGCCCTAAATGGCTTCAACCCTGTATACCTGAAAGAGCATCTCCACCTCCATTGCTCAACCCGGACACTGAGGTCCAGCTCCGAGGGCCTTCTAGTGTTTTCCTCTCTGCAAGAAGTGAGGTTACAGGGAACCAGGCAGAGGGCCTTCTCGGTGGTGGTGCCCGCCCTGTGGAACGCCCTCCCACCAGATGTCAAGGAAGTAAACAGCTACATGACTTTTAGAAGACATATAGAAGTTAAAAGCTTTTAATACGTGCTATTTTACTGTGGTTTTACAATTTGCTCTAAGCTACCCATGGTGGCAGCTTATATTGGTAATAGTAGCAGGTGTCGTCAATAAATTGTGCTTGTGTTTTTTTGGGGGGGGGGAGTGTTGCAGGGGTAGGGTGAGGGGGGGCTGCTGGGGCATTGACCCCGGGCACATTTTTTGGTGCAAGTTTGCAAAACAATGAAGAAGAGATGGGGTGGGGGGTGGGGTTGCAAATAAGGTGGAGGAATGCTGTCCCCTTCGGCACCCCCCTTGTCACTTTCCCTCCCAGCATTATGAGCAACCAGTTCTTTGGCTGACTGATATCTGGTGCCCTTATAAATGTGTTGTGGAAAGAGGGGGTTACTTGCTTTTTTTTGTTCCTATTATTATTATTATGCATTTTGTGTTTTTTTTAATATTGTAATTTTATGTTGTCAACCGCCCCTGAGATCTACAGGTATTCATATAATGCAAATTTAAGTAATAATAATAATAATAACAACCATTAATGAGTGCTCTTTGGGTTCCGTCAGTCAACAACCAGTTACAAATCCACCTAACAGTTACCTCGTCCAGCACACATTTTACCAGCTTCACTCTCCTTCCAATTCTTTGCTTCGCCAGCAGTCTCTAAATGTTGTGCCAGCCTCTTGCCGTCACCCAGGAAGGAAAGAGCCTCAAAATCACGAAAAGGAAAGACCCGATACGTGGAACGGGCTCAACAATTCGTGGGAAATGAACAAAGCAAGGCAACAGAGGTTGGCTGACTATTTGTCGTGGGCGCTTTAGTTGAGATTCCTGAATTGCGGGGGGTTGGACTAGATGGCCCCTGGGGTCCCTTCTGATTCTATGGACTCCTCCCAGCATTTCATTTTATTATTGAAACGCAACACACCTGAACAACGGCACTTGTGATATTCGACACACACACCCCCGGGGCGTTTTCACGACATTTTCGGAGAGCCAAGGAAAAAAAGTACAAGATTAATGCTCAGCCATTTTGCTTTACTGGATAATATACGTTTGAGAGAATGCAACAGAACAAGGAGCTGATTCCAGTTTTCACCCTCCCTCCCAACTTCTTTTCCTCTCTCCGTTTGGCCGTCCTGCCCCCTTAGGCATACACTGGTGCCTCGCAAGACGAAATAATCCGTTCCGCGAGTCTCTTCGTCTTGCGGTTTTTTCGTCTTGCGAAGCACGGCTATTAGCGGCTTAGCGGCTATTAATGGCTTAGCGGCTTTAAGAAAAAGGAAACAAACTCGCAAGAACTCGCAAGACGTTTCATCTTGCGAAGCAAGCCCATAGGGAAATTCATCTTGCGGAACGACTCAAAAAAACGGAAAACCCTTTCGTCTTGCGAGTTTTTCGTCTTGCGAGGCATTCGTCTTGCGGGGCACCACTGTATAACCAACCAAAGTGGACTTGGGGCAGATCCGCTGAAATCATACAATACTGTGCATAGAGATCTCAAGCTTTATACTGCTTTAGGCAGCCATGGTGGCTTCCTCTCATAAGAATCTTGGGAGCTGTAGTTTGCTCCCCCATAGAACTACGCTTCCAGAATTCCTGGAGAGATGGGTCGACTGTTCAGCCTCTCTGGGAATTGCCGCAAATCACACAAATGCACTTGCGAATTGAAGACCCCATGGACCCGCTTGCTTCAATAGGGTTGCGGGTGGGTGGGGTTGCAGAACGAAAGGCGTACAGGTTATTAAGCATGCAGAAGGTTATTTTTTATTATATAGAGCGAAGGGTGCTGCTGCCCGTTGCTGCTTCTCTTCAGGATTCCATGGTTTTCTTGATCCAGGGAAGGAAATGGGCGATGCGAGAGTAGACTCCAGGAGGGTACGAGTTACCAAACGAGACGATTCCTTGTACCACGCCTTTGCACACCATGGGGCCTCCGGAATCACCCTGGGGAAGAGAAAAGCAAACATCCTCACTGCTACAAGCTCCTCAAATGGCACCATTCAATTGCAAAGATCTGGGCCTCTGGCTCCAATTAGGATCAGTGCACCTGAGAGTTAGAGGGAGGTTCTCCAGTCCAGCTCAGTGTGGACCCTCCAAGTGTCTTTATTTTCCAGGGACGTCCCTGATTTAGAGATGCCAACCCGGTTTCGGATTTGATCCCTGAATGCCCCCCTTTTCCTTAGGACGCACCTGAAGGAGCGTCTCCACCCCCATCGTCCAGCCCAGACACTGAGGTCCAGCTCCGAGGGCCTTCCGGCCGTTCCCTCCCTGCGAGAAGCGAGGTTGCAGGGAACCAGGCAGAGGGCCTTCTCTGTGGTGGCGCCCGCCCTGTGGAACGCCCTCCCATCAGATGTCAAGGAGAGAAAGAACTATCTGACTTTAAGAAGACATCTGAAGGCAGCCCTGTTCAGGGAAGTTTTTTTGATGTGTGATCTTTTATCGTGTTTTTAATATTCTGTTGGGAGCCACTCAGATTGAATGGGGAAACCCAGCCAGATGAATGGGGTATAAATAAATTATTATTATTATTATTATTATTATTATTATTATTATTATTTACATTGGAAAAATATTGGAGGGTATGGAGTTGTTATTGGACCCCCAAGCCACCTGAAGGCAATCCTGTATAGGGCAAGGGTTCTTTAAAACCCAGTATACCTGAAGGAGCGTCTCCACCCCCATCGTTCTGCCCAGGCACTGAGGTCCAGCACCGAGGGCCTTCTGGCAGTTCCCTCCCTGCAAGAAGTGAAGTTACAGGGAACCAGGCAGAGGGCCTTCTCGGTGGTGGCACCCGCCCTGCGGAATGCCCTCCCGTCAGATGTCAAGGAAATAAACAACTATCTGACTTTAAGAAGACATCTGAAGGCAGCCGCCGTTTAGGGAAGTTTTTCATGTGTGATCTTTTATCGTGTTTTTAATATTCTGTTGGGAGCCAACCAGAGTGGCTGGGCAAACCCAGCCAGATGGGTGAGCTATAAATATTAACGTATTTTTCGCTCTACAAGACGCACCAGACCACAAGACGCACCTAGTTTTTGGAGGAGGAAAACAAGGGAAAAAAATATTCTGAATCTCAGAAGCCAGAACAGCAAGAGGGATCGCTGCGCAGTGAAAGCAGCAATCCCTCTTGCTGTTCTGGCTTCTGGGATAGCTGCACAGCCTGCATTCGCTCCATAAGATGCACACACATTTCCCCTTTTAAGAAGGGAAAAAGTGAGTCTTATAGAGCAAAAAATACGGTAAGTTGTTTTTGTCGTTGCTGCTGTTGCTGTTGTTGTGTTACTATTATGTTACTGGTCTGACTCCCAAGCGTGGTTCAGAACTTTCCCATGGTTCCTGAGCATTGGCTGATGGGAACTGGAGTCCAAACGGAGGGTGTGGGGGCCACAGATTCCTCCATCCCTGACCTCCCCCCTCACCTGGCTTGTATCCCGAAGCTCATTGTGGCTGCCGGCACAGATCATCGCGTCGTTGAGTTGCGGGTAGACCTTCATGCACTTCCTGCGGCTGTAGATGGTGACGTTGGTCTCAAACAACCTCTCCGTGTCCTGGTTGTCGTCTATCAGGCCCCACCCTGCCAGGCTGCAGGGTGTCCCCTCGGGGAGGTCACTGCTAGATTTGGGCAGGGGAATCATCTGGACGTATTTGTTCAGAGTAGCCTTGTGGACCAGCTGCAGGAAGGAATCGAGAGATGCAGGAGAGTTATCCAACCTCCCTTTGCAATCTGAAATCACTAAAATCTCCAGGAAAATCCGAATGGATGGTTAATCTACGTCAGTAATGTCGATCCCTTGTCTTTTTGAGATTTTGCAAAATCTCAACAACGTTGCCAAAAAACAACAAGCACCTTGAGAAGTAGAGACGTCACCTTGCCAACAAAGGTCCGTATAGTTAAAGCCATGGTTTTCCCAGTAGTGATGTATGGAAGTGAGAGCTGGACCATAAAGAAGGCTGATCGCCGAAGAATGGATGCTTTTGAATTATGGTGCTGGAGAAGACTCTTGAGAGTCCCATGGACTGCAAGAAGATCAAATGCATCCATTCTTAAGGAAA